GCTGCTGCTGGGGAGTTATCCGGGCATTTCCTCTGCCTGTGAGCTTCTGGGGTCAGGGGAAGGGTGGGTGGCCAGAGATGCTGCCTCTACCCTAAGTTAGCGTCACCCATGCTATTCCCAGCAGCTACATTTCTCCACTCTGTAATTACAAATGAAACTGGGGAACAGAATCAAAAGAGGACCTAGAAACAAGCTAGCCTCCACTTCCTCAAACATTCTGGGGCAGGAGTTTGTGAGCTGGAACAATGTTATTTGCAAGATTATCCCTGGTGGATATATACTCAAGTATTAAAGTGCTACTTGAGTATATATTTCAAAAAAAATAGTATTTCTTTCAGAGCCTGTGTGGGCCCAGCACAATGACACTGAATCTGGCTGTTAAACCTGGCTGTTACTGATTCTAATATGTGGCCTTGGACATTTCATTTTTCCAAGTATAGCTCTCCTCATCTGTAAAATATGGAAATAATCTTTAGAATGTTGGAGCCAGTATAAGTAAAGGTACTTCAGAAACAATAAAGTCCAAATCCCAATGACATTTTTTGCAGAAATAGAAAAACCCATCCTAAAATTCATATGGAATCTCAAGGGGCCCTGAATAGCCAAAACAATCTTGAAAAAGAACAAAGCTGGAGGACTCACACTTTCTGATTTCAAAACTTACTGCAAAGCTACAGTAATCAAAACAGTGTGGCACTGGAATAAAGCTTGACATATAGATCAATAGAATAGAATAGAGAACCCAGAAGTAAATCCTTGAATATATGGCCAAATGATTTTTGGCAAGGGTGCCATGACCACTTAATGGCAAAAGGACAGCTTTTTCAACAAAGGGTGCTGGGAAAACTGGATATCTACATGCAAAAGAATGAAGCTGGACCCTTACCTAACACCATATACAAAAATTAACTCAAAATAGATCAAAGACCTAAAAGTAACCTAAAACTATACAATTTTTAGAAGAAAACTTGGAGCAAAATCTCCACAATGTTGGATTTGGCAGTGATTTCTTGGATATGACATTAAAGATACAGACAACAAAGAAAAATAGACAAATTGGATTTCATAAAAATTTTGTGTATCAAAAGGCAAAATCAGGCTGGTGCAGTGTCTCACGCTTGTAATCCTAGCACTTTGGGAGGCTGCGGTGGGCAGATCATTTGAGGTCTGGAGTTCGAGGTCAGCCTGGCCAACATGGTGAAACTCTGTCTCTACCAAAAATACAAAAATTAGCCAGACCTGGTGGCACACGCCTGTGGTTCCAGCTTCTTGGGGGGCTGAGGTAGGAGAATTGCTTGAACCTGGGAGGCCGGAGGTTGCAGTGAGCCAAGATCGTGCAACTGTACTTCAGCCTAGGCGACAGAGCAAGACTCTGTTTAAAAAAAAAAAAAAAAAAAAAAAAAAAAGGCAAAATCAACACAGTAAAAACTCAACCCATACAATGGAAGAAAATGTTTGAAAATCATATATTTGATAAGAGATTAATATACAGAATATAGAGAGAACTCTCTAACGCTCAACAACAAAAACACGAAAAAAACAATTAAAAAATGGACAAAGGACTTGACAAGACTTTTCTCCAAAAACACATGAAAAGATGTTTATATCACTAATCATTTGGGAAATGTCAATTAAAACCACAATGAGACACCAGCTCACACTCATAAGGATGGCTACTATCAAAAACAACAACACTGACCAGATCGAGGGGGGAGGAGGAGGGAGAGAATGAAGCGGGTGACAGGAATCGTCAAAAAAAAAAAAAAAAAAAAAAAAAAAAAAAAACACTGGCGGTGAGGATGTGAAGAAACTGGAACCCTGTGCACTGTTTGGCGGAATGTAAAATGGTACAGACACTGTGGAAAATATTATGATGCTTTTTCAAAAAGTTAAAAATAGAATTACCACATAATCCAGCAATTCCACTTCTGGGTATATACCCAAAAGAACTGAAAATAGGATCTTGAAACGATATTTGTGTACCCATGTTCATCACAGCATTATTCATAATTGCTAAAATGTGGACACAACCCAGTGATTTCTTGACAAACGGGTAGATAAACAAAATGTGGTATACACACACAAGGGAATATTACTCAGCCTTAAAAAGGAAGGAAATCTGGACATATACTACATCATAGATGAACCTTGAGGACATTATGCTAAGTGAAATAATCCCGTTGCGAAAAGAAAATACTGCATGATTCCACTTATATGAAGTATTAGAGAGGTAGTCGTTATTTAATGGGTATAGAGTTTTAGTTTTACAAGATGAAAAGAGTTCTGGAGATGGATGGTAGTGCTGGTTGCACATCATGTATTTAATACCACTGAGCTGTTCGTTTTAAGGATTAAGATGATAAATGTTATGTTATGTGTATATTATCGTAATAAAAGTTAGAAAAAATTGTCATAAAACTAAGTCAGATATTAAGAACAATCAGAATTACTTCTGTCTTGTTTACAGACATCATATGAAAAACAAATTGTTTACCTAGCATGACACCTGTTACGGGTTGAACTGTTCCCCTCAAAAGATGCTGAACTTCTAACCCTTGGTACCTGTGAATGTGACCTTATTTGGAAATTGGGTCTGTGCAGATGCTCAAGTTAAGATGAGGTTATTAGGGTGTGCCCTAATCCAATAATGACTGTGTCCTTATGAAAAGGGAAAAGAGACAGGTATACAGAGAAGATGTGAATTCACAGGGAGCGCACATGGCCGTCCATAAGCCAAGGAATGCATGAGGTTACCAGAAGCTAAGAGACAGACGTGAAACAGACTGCCCCCCACATCTCTCTGAAGGGGCCAGCCTTTCCAACACTTTGATCTTGGACTTCCAGCCTCCAGAGCTGTGAAACAACACATTTCTGTTGTTTAAGCTGCCCAGTTGGAGGTGCTTGTTACATTAGCCCCAGGAAATTATACAACATCTTACCTGAATTTGCTTTATTCTTCGCTCTAGTTAATTAAATTCAAAACTACATATTGAATAACGACGGTGTGCTCTCTCTCCATGAAGCTTCAGGGTGGGTAGACAGTCCTCCTCTTGAAGGAACAGGAGGGATGCAAGGGAAGGGATCATCTTGTGTCTCATCTGAGAGAGACACTCCTGGAGTAAGAGGTCTGCGGTTAATGTGTTTCTTTAGACGTTCAGAAACAGAGGAAGCACCTGCGGGCTAAGCCGCTGAGGGCTAGGTGAGAGCTGACTGACCTAAGTTTTGAAGCACGGATGGGTGACAGGTTGGAGGGGGAAGACGGGAAAGTCACAGGGGAGAGGAACAGCATGGGCCAAGTGTGGAGGAACCAATGAGTGGGTGGGGTTTCAGAAACGGGCCTTTGTCAGTTTTTGAGCCCTCCCTGAACTTTTCCACTTCAACCCCACCTCCTGCCTGTGTCTGCCATGCACCTCCCGTCCTGTGCCCCTTTGCCCTGTGTCTGTGCTTGGGAGAAATGTGCTCAGTTTCTGTGGCAAGGATGTTGCTACGTGTTCATCAAACTGGCTTTGTTTACTTCTTAAACACTCAGGAAGACCATAGCTCCCAGAGCCCCTTGCATCCTGGTGGGGCTGTGTGACTACCTGGCCCATGGATGTGGGTGGAAGTGATGTGTGCGGCCCCAGGCCTGGCTCCTGGACCCCACCGACGACTTCTCACCTGTAACCCCACCGGCCTTCTGCCTGGATACTTCACGGGGAGATACGGTGGCCTTGGTTAAGAAGGAGGCATGGCATCTGCAGGTACCGGGCCGCCTGCATCAGTCGGTGCATTCGGTTCCACCGCCCACATGCCTTCATGTAATCCTCACTGCAGGGCCCACGGGGAGGGGAACTTCCTCCAGGCCTAGCTTTGTCTTTCTGCCTTCAGAACCAAGGAAGAAGGAGGGGTCTAGGCTCAGTCCCCCTTCCCTGCAAGGCCCTGCGCCCGCTCCCCTCAAAGCTGCTCTTGCACGTTGCTCTGGCGGCCTCTGTAGCAGAAGTTCACTCTGTTTTCCGTGGAGGAGGAGTGGAAGGAGGGATTCGAGCTCTCCCCTAGAGACGCCGGAAAGACAGTTTTGTCTCAGGCTCATACGATCGCCCAGCTCCAGATTTCTGGCTGTTTCTGTGGTTACCTTTCTTCGGGGATGTTTGGGGCGGGAGGTGGGTGTGTGTGTATATTTGCTCTTCTGAAGCCGTTTTTCCGGAGCTCCTGGTGGGGATGGGGGTGCTCTGTCCCTGGTTCCTCTGAGGCCGGTGCAGGGGATGGAGGATGCCCCCCTCCCCGAGAGCCAGGAGGCGCCGACCCTGGGCAGGAGATGCCAGTCCGGCGCCTCTCCTGCGTGGAGCCCGAAGACCACAGATGTCTGGAAGGGAGGAACTCAGGAAGCCCGCCTCTGCTCCCTTCCGTGGTTAGGCGGGGAAACCGAGGCTGAGGCAGCCCAATGGAGTTGCCTAAACGGCCTGGGGAGTCACTGGAGGTAACCAGAGCCGGAGCCAGGTTTCCCACTCCAGGCTCGGGGCTCTCCCCCGTACAGGCGTGGGAAGGGGTGCGAGCTGCACGCGGGGCTGGGGCTGGGGCTGGGGGTGCGGGGCCGAGGCGACTCGGCTCTTCTCCTTCCTAGGCCGCCCGGGCCACTTCCTGCGGGGTGGGGGCGGGGGGCGCGGGCGCAGGACTGGCCCCTCCCGGGCGCCGCCTCTCGGCCTCTCCTATACCCGCAGGCCAGAGGCCAAGGGTTAGGGGAACAGAACCGGTGCCCAGCTCCGCCCCTGTCCCGAAAGCCACTGGGGGCTGGGACCCGGCAGGGCCTGGGTTGGGCCACGAGGGCCGAAGAGCAGCGAGGGGCAGCGGCTGTGAGAGCCGAGCCGGACGCAGAAGGTCCGGCAGGGGGCGTGGAGGGGGCGGGGCCCGGAGGGGGCGGGGCCGCAGGAAACTTGAGCGCCCGCCTCAGGCCGCGCGCCCCGCCCCGGCCCCCGCCTCCGGGTCCCGCCTTCGCGTCCCTTCCTTCCCGGAGCTGGCAGGCGGGCAGCTGCGGCGGCGGGCAGCGGACGGGCGCACTGGCGGGCGCCTCCACCTTGCTCCCTCCCTGGCTGCCGGCTTCCTTTTGTCTTTCTGGGCGGCGATGAGCGCAGGGCCGGCGCAGCAGCTGCGGGCGCACAGAGGCCCGCGCTCCTAGTCACTCCTCCCCGCCTCGGCGCGCTCGTTCCGGGCAGCGGCCCGGGCCGGCTGCGGCCGCCGCCGGCGCCGAACTTGGACTCGGGAAGCCGGCAGACCGCGTCCTGAGCCGGAGCAGGTAGGGAAGGGGCGGGCTGCGGGCTGCGGGCTGCTGGCTCCTGGCGTGTGCACCGGGCGTGTGCACCCGGCTTGTGCACCGGCGAGCGCTGCGATCCGGCTCTTTGCGTGTATGTTTGTGCGCGCGCGTGTGTGTCCGGGGGTGCCCGCGTTTCTCTGCGCGGTGGAGTCGTGGGTGACGGCGGACGGTTGTGTGTCTTTCGAATAGCGTGTACTCGTGGGCATCCGTGTGTGCCTTAGGTGTGCACATTTTGGACTGCGTTTGTGGAATTGTGTGTTGGGGCAGTTGCTGGTGGGGAGCGGTGCCTGGCGGGTGTAGTGTGTGAGCAGCTGTGCGCAGAGCAGGGTGGCGGGGTGGGCGTGGGCGGTGCAGCCCCATGTGCAGAGCCCCCTGTCCCTGCTGGTCGGCGCAATGCTTAGCTTAGGAGCCTCGAGGACAGCTGGGATCCGACGGGGCAAGCGCGGGCCTTGCAGGCAAGCTGGGCCAGCCTCTCAGGGGGACAGGTCCGTGCGGCCCACGTGGGTCGCCTGTGAGCTTCTGCCAAGGGTGGGGGCCCACGCCGAGGCGATCCGCTCGTTCCTCCCAGGGCCATGGGGCGACGAGGAGAGCTTTGGCCTCCCCGTGACCCGCACTGCGACCTGGGCCAGACGCGCCACCTTCCCTGGTCGCGGTTTGCTTCTCTTTCAAATGAGGACAGCTCCTCCCTCGGGGGCTGTGGTGACAGGTGAAATGAGAACGCACTGAAGACAGCTCTTGGCCCAATGCCCGGCACACAGTAGGTGCTGTGTTCATTGGATTAGTGTCTCCTGTTTAAAACCTTTTTTTTTTCCTTTATCGTGGGTGGGGCCTTGCATTTCCCCCAGGCGTGTTTGTGCCTCTCCCTGGCCCTAACTTAACCGCGAAGCACCGACATTCGAGAAAGTTTAGCTGCCAGCTGCGCTGCCTCTTGCCGCACCTCCCGGGCGGCGCCGGCTCCGCGAATGCCCGATAGCGCCGCGCGGGGCGCCGACCCTGCCCCAGCCCCCAGGCTCCCGCGCGAGTGTGGGGGTCCCTCTCCTGGCCGAGAGACAGCGATTGCGGAGTTGAGAGACCTTTGGTTCAACAAGTGCCTAGTCCGGGAGGATGCAGCTCAGCCCGTGGAGTCCGAGAGCCACGGCGTGAAATTGGCGCTTCCTGCACACGCAGTTCTCGGGCTCCCGGGGTATCCTGGCCGCCAAAGGCCACCCCTTTCCTCCCGGCTGACCCCAGTTCCACCAGAGGAGGATGTTTGCCAGGACACCAAGTCCAGCTGCGGGCCTTGGCATTAGACAACCCCCAGCCCCAGCCCCTGCCATCCCTGCTCCCTTGCAGCCAGCCTCATGCCCGGGGCCCACGTGGGAACCCTCCTTCTAGTCCCATACCTTAATTTAAAACGTTTACTTTTGAAACCTGCTATTCGTAAAATTGAACCGCAGTGAACGAGCACCCAGCTCATACCACGAGTCACTCTCTGGAGAGTCCTGGCGGCTTGGCGCTGGCTGGACGCAGCAAGGCCAGCTCCTGGGGCCGGGTGCCCTCGGCCAGAGCGAGCGATATTCTTTCCCTTCATCGCCCTAGTGTCTTTCTCTCTGGAAAAAAAAAAATCGCCTTTAACCAAGGGAGCCACAGATCTCGCCAGTGCAGGAGGCAATCATAATGGAGCGCCAGCATGAGATTGGGCTGAGGAGGGGGCGGCATGGGCGGCCTTTGGTATGGATGCGCTTCCCAAGTGTCAGGTGCTACGTGGTGGTGTTCCCAGAGAGGCGGACTGCTTTGCGGGCTCTTAGGAGCCAGGAACAGAAACCTGGTCCAGTTCCTTTGGTTTCCCTCGGCCGGGACTGAAGCCCTGCAGTCCTAGCCATGGCAGGCCAGGGGGATGCGATTAGCTCATTTTCTCATTTTTCATCCTGACTTGGTGACAGGAGCACACTTAGAATGCACCCTGTTTTCTGTTTCATGAATTGATTTTATATCCTACAGGAGAAAAGGGCTTTTGGTGTGAATCCTAGTCTTTCCTCGTAATCAGATTCCATACTAATATTAAAAAAAAATCAGTCTGGCTTTCTCAGCTCAGAAGACAGACCAAAACCCAGGTTTTTGTTTTGTTTTGTTTTCATTTTTTTCTAGTTAAAGCCAGCCCTTTGTCTCAAGCAAGCCAGTGTTTTGGCCTTAGATCTATTTCTGTTTCACTTTTGAAAGCGCCTGTAATTACTGAGCTCTTGAGGTTTTATTGGATAATGTGGCAAAGGGAAGGCCCTGGGGCCCTGCCTCTCCCTTGTGGTGGGATGTGGTGCCACGGTGCCACATTCTAGCCTTGCCTGCTCCCTCTGCGTTCCACTTTTATGCTGTTTTTAAGGTGGAACATAAATGTCAATGTGTGATAACAATTTGGGAGACTTTGTCTTTGGAATCCAATAAATGGAAGGACTTTTGACCTGTGGAGAAACCAGAACAAGTCAAAACCCCAGAAGAACAGAGATTTGCCCAAACTCCAGCCAATGACCCATTTTTTTCCAGCAAGCCCTCCTAGAGATAGATTCTAAGTGAAATACAAGAATATGGACACACTCCATCCCCTTTCTGGCCACAGTACTGTGCAGAATTAGAAGTGCCGTCTATGGAAGGACAAGGACGGGACTTCCCTTGGTGCATGCACCCCAGCCATGAGCCGCATACTCACCTAGCACCATTTCACCCTGGAGCTGTTTCTCCTGTTGAAGAGCTGGTGCTCACACCCCCTACCTTCAGGGCTCTGCAAGCACAGTTCCAAGGACTGCAGCGCGGGTACAGTGCGTGCCCTGCTGAGTGTGCGTCAGAGCAGTTGTCTCCCGGCGACACTTGTTCTGAGACCCTTTTTGCTACTCTTAGGTGGTAGAGTACCACGCTCACTCATGAACCAGTGATAATCCAGGGTACTAACAGGGGGCCCCAGAGTTTATTTGGCACTGAAGATTAAGCTACTTGGCAGCTGAATTTTTATGTAGATTGGGGTTAGGTTTGTACTAAAATTTTGCATTCCAGCAAGCCCTAAACCATGCTTGTTCATTGTGGGATAATGCACTCAATTGATGAGTTGCCAGCCCAGGATTGATGGAGGATTATGTGTATTCTGTTAATTTGTCAGCACCTGATGTCATTGTGCTGGGGGTTGGGGGAGGCATGTTTGGAGTTAGGATGAGCAGACACGTGTAGATTTTCATCATGCTCTACGTTGGGGCTCCCTGCTCTCCTATAGTAGTAGTGGGTTTCTATGTCGTTCTTATGTCCTCAGGTAAAGCTGCACATCTGTGAATGTCATGGAGCCCTTGTTCTTTTCCCGTTAGATTGAGTTTCTAATCTGGGAATGACAGAGGGTGGCTGTTTATGGAGACAGCAGCATGCGCTTAGGGGCTCTTTTGGCGCCCGTTACCCTGTGGAAAAAAGGTTTCTTCAAATCACTTTCTACAAAGAATAAAAAATGGTTGGAATCCAGTGGTGCAGATTGTAATATGACTTCAGGTAATCAATACAGTTTGACAGGTGGAACATTTCTTAGGTGCTGATGAACGGGGTGCAAGTCTCAAGATTTTTTTTTTTTTAATCATCTGAAAAAGCACAGTAAATCCTTTAAAGAGCCCTACCTTGGCCATGTCGTTTCAAGTAAAACTGAATTTCAGAGGCAAAGCTTCACAGCGGAGGCATGACTAACTAGAGAAGTCCTTCCCAGAGACCTCCTCTTTCTTCCTGTTGCTACCCTCCATTGCCAGCAGCAGGGCAGGAAAGATGACTTCTTGGGACTGTGTGCCTTTACCTTAATAAGCAAGTGCACCCTGAATACTTGCTAATCCCGCAGCTGGGTTTTCTGGGTCTTTGGACCTTTTTGGTACTTGAGGTACTACCCAAGTTGGCAGGAAGCCAGGAGCCTGGGGGTGGAGGCGGCTTAGCCCACCTGTGGCATGAGACAAGCAGTCTTCTTCAGCAAGGGATGGGTCTCTGACCCTTGGCTAATAAAACTCAGGATTATTAAATATGTACTGCATGGATAAGTTTGCTGTGACCCTGAAAAAAAGAGGAAGGCTTTTGAGTGTTGCGTGGTTCTCCTCTTGGAAGTCTTCCCAGGTTTCGCCTCAGTACTCTCTTGTCCTAGCTTAAATCTTTCCTTGCTCTGTGTCCCCTTAGGCAAGTGACGTCTCCCCTTAGGCAGGCATGATATTAAGTGCATCTCTAGAGGATAGTTCCTTCCACCTGCCCAGGTGCACTGGCTGAACTCACCTGTGCCCACATCTGTGCATTTGCAGGCGATACAGATATACACCTGAGCTGTCCCCCTGAGCTGCAGACCCAACACTGGGTGTGGGCTCTGAGCTATTCCACATCAAAGCAGAGCCGAGGACACATCTCCCTTGCTGAAGCTGTGTCTCCTACCTATTATGGTCGACACGTCTCATCTACTCATTTGTTACAGCTAGAAATCTCTGGAGAGTTTTGGAGCTCTTTCCCCATCTTCACTTTGCCGTCTAATCGGGTCAGCCCTCTTTGAGGGCTCATACCCACTCTTCCTGTACAGCAGAGCCTTATCTACCCTTGGCCCAGAGCATGCTTCCAGTTCCTTCACTCCAGCCATGCAGGTAGCACTTCACGGTTTAAAACACAGATTTCATCATCCCACTCTCTTCTGCCTCCCCAACCTCGCCAAGGTTTATTCTCTTACACGGTAAGTGCTTCTGATACCTACTGTGTGCCTTGTGCCAAGCTGGGGTCTGAGAAGGTTGGACCCAGGCATCCTCCCTACCTGTGCAGAGTTTAAGGTCTTGGGCTGGGGGTTGTGTGTGGGGGACCTATCAAATAACACCAAGGGGCTTGAAGTGCTACGGAGGGGAGCTCCTACCCCGGTATACGGGACACCCTGGAGAAGCACCCTGTAAGCTGACACCTGGGAGAGTTGGGAGGATGGCGGAGGGGTTGGAGTTGGGGCTGGATTGTTTGATGCCTTTCTTCTCTCC